CTTCCGATATTTCAGTTGTAACAAGTATTTAGAAGTACTTATAAATATTTAATATTTGTTTTAATATTAACATTTTTTCTTATTTGATATCATTGAATAATTACTGGTTGATGGAAAATTTAAGATAGTAAGTTTCTCTGTTACTTGCTTTTCCTCTTTTATATACTTTCGTCTTTTTTTCCTTCTTTCTCTAAGAGAGTTATCATTAGCTCTAAATCTCTAATCATTAACACGAATAATTTTTAGATTTTTCGTTTATACCTAAACACTTTCCATCCCAACCACTCTGTATAGATGCGTAATCACGATTGGCGAATCGATTTATGAATAATTACTGGTGTTATGTTGATGGAAAATTTAAGATAGTAAGTTTCTCTGTTACTTGCTTTTCCTCTTTTATATACTTCCGTCTTTTTTTCCTTCTTTCTCTAAGAGAGTTATCATTAGCTCTAAATCTCTAATCATTAACACGAATAATTTTAAGATTTTTCGTTTATACCTAAACACTTTCCATCCCAACCACTCTGTATAGATGCGTAATCACGATTGGCGAATCGATTTATGCTTCAGGCGTACTGCTTCGCCGTTCCCGCGCGCAGCTCCATTTATTATTCTATTAAATTCGTAGTTTCCCGTTGGGGGTCCACCCCTGCGCCTAGAGCTATCTCTCACTCACGACTTAATGCGATATTCATATCGAGGCGAGCGAATGGACCCCGGCTAGGGGCCGGTCGTAATTAAGTCGGACACTATGTGTGTCCTCTCGCGCGCTTTTCCTTATTTCTAGGAAGATAAGCGGGGAAAAGTTTCTATCTGTGCAATCGTGGCAAATAATTGCGATAAAGTCGCAACGATAATATCCGCCGATCGCCGAGCTTTCTTATCGTTGTGCACCGTATCTATAATTATTTTAATGGTCGTTCAAGCGATGACAACGTGCATTACTGTAATTGCCACGCGCGCCGATTAAACTCGATTGCGTTAACTAAATGTGTAACAAATAGGTAACATACATTACTTGGAACACGATCAAACGGCGCGAGAGACTTGGAACAGAACCGGTCGACTTTGTTGTGTATTCTTTATTTGAAAAATTTCAATGCTCCATCACTAAAGATATGATAAGATTAAAAAGAATTTTTTTGTTAAAATTTCTATATTAGGAGAAATTACTTGTAATATTTTTTTTTATTTTACTCTTGTAATAATTCCGTATATTAATAAATCCATAAAAAATTGGATCATTAATAGAAAATGGAACTTTATTACAGGTGAAGCCTGAAACTGTGTCTAGGTAACATACATTACTTGGAACACGATAAATAACGGCGCCAGAGACTTGGAACAGAACCGGTCGACTTTGTTGTGTATTCTTTATTTGAAAAATTTCAATGCTCCATCACTAAAGATATGATAAGATTAAAAAGAATTTTGTTAAAATTTCTATATTAGGAGAAATTACTTGTAATATTTTTTTTTATTTTACTCTTGTAATAATTCCGTATATTAATAAATTCATAAAAAATTGGATCATTAATAGAAAATGAAACTTTATTACAGGTGAAGCCTGAAACTGTGTCTCACCTACTTTACGGTGAAGAAGCCCTGCAAGAGAGAATATCAAGACAGATCTGTTATACATCGACCTATGTAAGTCTAGTTTTTTTTTTTAATTTTCAGGATGCACAAATATAAAAAATATTGGCAAAAATATGTAGAGTTTAATGCACACGTACAATTGCGTTGATATTGCAATATATAAGATTAAAAGCGTGCATTAAAAATAATCATAAATGTCGTCAGAGTTACGGTAGGAAAGATTACATTAAATTTAGAAAGGTTCTAAATTCGTAATATAAATTCATTTTTTTTTTTTAAATTTGTAAAAACGTATTACTCCAAAAATTTTTCAAAAATTGTACAAGACCCGTCAGTCAGCATAAATAATCAAACTTTTAGTATACTGAAAAAAAATTTGTTAACTTGATTAAACCTTTCAACTAAATATTATTTTGTTAATTGAACATACAAAAATATTTAAATTAAATGTAACACATTAAATCTAACAAAACGTATATTTGACTTAAATACTAATATACGTTCCATTAACAAAATAGTAATTTAGTTGAAAGGTTTAGCAAAGTTAACAAATTTTTATCCAGTGTGTGTAGATATCTTAAAGTTCGCTCTCAACAAGCTTAGGGATTCCATCCTAGAGATTCGCTCGTAAAGTCACGCTCTCGTTGCAACTGTCGTCGGAGGCTGCAACAGATGCGCGGTTCGGGAAACAAACACGCGTGCCGTGTAAAGGGCGACAGCTTAAGAGGAGCGACGGAGGGAGATGCGGCAGCATCCGTTGCACACTGATAACACAATTAGCTTGTCTTGTCATGCGCGACCTCTGATAAGAGCCAACTGTGTCCTGCCTATCTCTCTCTCGCTCTTCTCTTTGCTCGTCTCCCCATCCTCCTTCTTCGTCGTCCCACATGCAACCAGGCAGGATTGGAGCGATCCGGTGGATCGTTCGCGTCAGGCAGGATCAGGCAGAGAACGAGAAGATCCCTCCCGGGACCACGCGATAAGGGCGCCGGCTTAACCCTCTCTTGGACGCGAAAGGTTCCCTTTCTCCGCGACGCGACGCGACGTTAATACCTTCCGGCAGGTTTTCCTCCGATGATTTATTCGGGAGAAGGGCCCGGAGTCGCACGCCGCACGATACATGCAGACGTAAGCGGATTTCAGAGGGAGACATTGGGGACCACGTGCCCCAAATAGATCAGTTAAAGATACTATCGTTATCTCGTTTGACGGAGAATTTTTCATTCCTCATATATATATATATATATATATATATATAACTATAATATATAATATATATATATATATATATATACATTTTATATTTGCGGAGATATATATATATATATATATCTTTCGTGATGTCAAATATAAAAAGATTTATATTTATTAAAATATATATGTGTGACGAGAGTTTACGTTGCCTACAAAAAAAATTCGTACATGCAATTCGAGGATGCAACTGTGTCTTTTTGCCGCCCTTTAAACGCTCTTTCGAATCTGGATTTTAAAAAATAAATTATTTTTATATTAAGATTCATTTATATAGATTTCTGGTTCTGACAATGAGAAGAAGTCAGCATTGTCATATCCCCATGCTTACATTTTTGTTTTTTTTCACTATGCACACGCGTACACGAGTCGGCGATACGCCATGCATACGTCATGATCGTCATGGTCGTTTTTTGCATTGATATTCGTGTTTATAGGGATGTGGAGGGTCGACCCTTCAAGGGAGATACTTAAACGAATTGTATATCCGTAAGTGGTATTAATGCGGGGGAGCCTGGGAAAGGACACCACCCCGGCAAAACCCTTATTTTCAATAAATATAAACGACTGATAGAAATATGACAGAGGGTGTTAAAAAAATTTAATATAAAATTAAATCAGGAATAAGCAATAAATCTCATGTTGACAAAAACATTGCAGATAATTAAATAATAGGAAAATCTCTTGCACCACTAAATTTCAATTTAAGGTAAATGTCCCAGTAGTTGAACGCGTCCTAATGTATGAACGATGCAATACATATTTATAATTATTAAGTTTTTCCTAATACATACAGTTACAAATATTATATTAAAATTTAAAATTAACGTTTGTTAATATTTATTAAAAAGAAAACGGATTGAAGAAAAAACGATTTATGAGAAAAAAATTATTTTTTAAATGACGGCTTACTTTTATTCATTCTTTCAATAGCTTCTTAACTATCTAGTTAAGAAACGTCATTTAGTACTTAAGTATGTGTATTTTTTATATAAATGCTATTATAACAAGTAAAAGTTATCTTGATTCGTAAAAGAAGTTACTATTTAATTAAAATTTTTATTTTATTAAACAAATTCATTTAAATATGATAAATTTAGTGTTTATTTACTGGTACTCAAAAATTCAATATTGCCTAGTTATCGACCGTTTGTTTATTTATCGTTTTTTTCGTTTAAATCGTAATATTTTCGTTTCAATTTCATTAAAAATGTAAGTATTTTAATATTTAAAAAAATCTACAATTAATTTAGTAATAAAATTTAAAGAATTTAAAAAAAAAACTTAATATATATTTATGTCATAATAAACGAGGAAAATATTATGACAGATAACCTTTGTTAACCAAAAAGTGTATGTGAACATTCGTTTTATTTTTCATTTCTTGTTATATGTTAGATAATTTCGAAGATAATGTTGAAAGAAAGAACAAGAAAAAAACTTCTGTATAGACAAATTATTTCTATAATTATAACTTTGCTATGTTTAAATATTGGGACAGCTTCGTTCAACCATTAGGACAAACGCGTTTTTATCGTTTAAACACTGGTACTTTTACACAGCTTCATATTTTATTATATTTTTATATAATAAAATGAATAAAAACAATTGTTTGTATGCTTTTTAAACAATAAAGATATCAGTTTACAAGATAAATGCAAATCCTTAAGAAAATTTCTTGTTTTTATATAATAAAAATATTAATAAATGAATTTGTAACCTTAATCGTTCAACCACTGGGACGTTTACCTTAAATCACATACATATTTTTAATAATAATCTCGCATTTCTTTTTTTCCTACTTTTTTACCTCCGCAGATTTATTCCATATACCCAAAACTTTTTTAATAATGCATGAAAAGAAATTCGTTCGCGTGAGAAAATGCTGTTTCACCGCATTAGTTAGCAGTTCCATCGAATTCCCTCCTACGGGGATGGGGCTTCGAAAAAGCACGGAATTTAAAAAAAAAAAAAAAAAAAGATCGACGGGTGGCTGCGGGCTACGTGTACCGGCCATAGAGGGTGGAAACGGTGCTGTAATAGCATAAATCCGTGAACTGTGCGTAGTCGGTTCCCGATGGTCGTGGAGAGAGGGAAGGAACAGGCCAGAGGCAGACCGAGCGCTGGAAGAAACGGCAGTCGCCACTCGACGCCTGCACCGAACGGAAGGTATCTCTGCGAGCACACGGCTTCTTCCCAAATTTCACCCTTGTCCTCGCCGAGGAGAGCTTCGAGGAATTTTCAGGATAATTCTCGGTGATCGCAAACTTCCTGCATCTCGGTAATTTTTTTTTTTTTTTTAAACGATCTCTCGATTTTTTTCGGGTCTTTTTCTCTCCTTCTTTCTTCCCAAAAGTTAAGAACGATTATCGAGGAACGATGAAACGGGATCGTCGCGGGATCGTCCTGGATCCGGTGTGAGCGTTCAAAGGAGGGAGTATTCGCGATATCGATCGAGAGATCGATCGATAGGATCGCGCGAAGCACAGACCGAGCGGAAGTGTCTCTTCCGGTCGGCGGGAGTTTTTCGGCGGAGCAATCGCTCTCGATCGCTCTCGTCACAAGAAGATCAAAAGGGGAGCGTGCTCTGTAATATTTGTTCGCTTGCCGGTGCATGGTGTTTCGCGCGTCGTAAAATTGCGCGCGCGATCGAAAACGGCGCGGTTCGTGAAAGTGTGTTCGAGCAGCGACTTGTCAGCCGGACAGGTGCGAGGTTGGTGACAGAGGAGACATAAAGACAGTGGGAAGAAAGAAGAGACGGGAGAGAGCGCGAGCGATTTTATTGTTCCTGAAAAATCGATCGATAATATTGATTCGATCCAAGTTGTAAAGGAAGAAGGGGACAAATGTAAATCGAAAAGAACGACCGGACGCATCGAAATAATTGATCGTCGAACGGACAAATATATAAAATAGTGTTACGTTCAACGGGTGACAGAGAGAAAGTGACATTTATCCGATCGTTTTTTGGAGGAGACCGAGAGGAAGAGAGAAAGCAGATGACAAGTGGGCCCGAAACAGGTCTCCAAGACACGTGACATGGACAAAAGTTCGCCGGTTGCAGAAAGAGATCAGTGCGATCGGTAAAGGAAGCGCGTGCGCGAGTGTGACACATTCGGAGTCGCTTCCTTTTCTTTTTTTTTCTCAGTTATTTCGTGAGAAAGTGCCTGGCGTTGGTCGCAGAAGGAGGAGCACGCGAATTATTCTTCTAGACTCAGGGAGAAGAGAAATTTCACGAACGTGACGAACGTGAGAGAGGAAGCGTAAGAAAAGAGACCACGTGCATGTGTGAGAAGACACGATAAATTGATATTGTTTTATCGGATATCACACAACGAGAGAGGAACAACGGATCCGCGTTTCCCGGACGAATCCAAACGTGGTAAGTTGAGTTTTGTTTATGTGTACATATGCGGATGTAAACACACCAGATACGCACCGGCAACGCTTAACAGAAATTTATCTCGCAATTGTGGACCCTGCGAATATCCCGAATGTCACGTATCTTATGCAGAATTGAGCCGATGGTTTGAAAATAGTCAGCAAAAAATATCGCCAAATAAAATGCAAATAAACAATATATATATAAACTGTCAAATATTTTTAAGATATTTCTAAAACTTATTATAATATAAAATTTTATACGAAATTTTATAATTTGTGCATATCAAAACAGTATATTTCTCAGAGATTTTGAAAAAAATTTAACAAAACTTTTATTATATTACTTATTAATTTTGAATTCATGTTTTTTTATAGAATAATTCTGCAATATTTATAATGCTTTTACATTAATTTCATTATATTTTGAAATTTAAGCAATAAATTCTGTGACGCGCGCGCACATTTAAATTTTTAATTATACATATTGTCACAAAATCCTGTTTCCATGCGTATTATATAATTATATTTTTAAATGCAAATTTTTGCGATCCTCTGAAACGCGAGTAATAAATTAATATCAGCAATCGTTCGGCAATGTTGCATGAAATAAACATATGTGACCGATTAATTAACCCAGAGAGTGTTGCGGGTTCCCGCAGTTCGTTTGCTTGTAAACAAATGATGTGGAATCAGGCTAAAAGCGCGATTGTTGATACACCGACCGCTCTTTGCGTAATTACTCACCTTCGCGATCGTCGCTCATTAATATGAGATACGCTGCGCTTGGCGTGCGGAGGAAGGTGCCATGTAATTAAATCCCCTTGTATCCAAGAACAATTACGCTCGTTAACGGAGCGCGCTTCGCGATTCTCAATTATACATAGTTTCTCGAATACAATTCCGACACGAAACACAGATTTAACCCTCTGTGAAAATCACTTTATCTATTTTTCTCAGTCTGTAGAAAGCAAATGAAAAGTACTTATGAAAAGACTATCGTATATAACATATCTAGAACAAGCTTTTTAATATAGATTGTACTTAAAGATTATGTAATCTCAATCAAACTTATGGAGCACATTTGACAAATTACGATTTAATCATTTACTTATCATTTACTTTTTGAAGTAAAATACATATACTAAATGTCAACAAAATATTTTTAGCAAAAGTATTTCTTTTTTTGGCTGATAATTTTTTAAAGAATATTAATAAGCACTGTTTAACAAATAGTCAAACTTTAAAATATATTACTTTTAAATTATTATTATGCTGATATATTTTTCTTATTGATACAAACAAGAAATAATTGCGAAGATTGAACTAATGATCGGGAGAGAAATGTTAAGTGTTAGAAATGAGGAAAAATTACATTGTTAAAAAATTTCAATTTTTTAAATGGAAAAGATTCAAAGTTTAAAATATTTCTTTTTTCGTACAACAATAAAAATTAATATATAGCGTTATTATAAAATTTATTATACATTTCTAATATAGTTGCACTCTAAAGCAGCAGGTGATATGCAAGTTTTTAGTAGGTGGACAATAGCGATGGTCGTTTTACTGTCTTTCTTATGGCAGGTCAGTTTTCTTTACGACTTGAGAAATAACAGCATTGTCGATATTCTGTACAATTAGCATAAAAAAGAGAATAAGTGATTCAATGAACAATCAACAGTGATTTATCCTGTTATCTTTTTGTGGTAGATTAAATTATTTTTTGACATAAAATTCTTTAGGAAATTAGGTCTCGATAAGTTTGACACATATACTAATAATTTAGAAAATTTATAAGAGCACAGTTGTGAATATTTCCTAATATATTTAGGTTTCCTATTTTTCCCGTTTTGTAATCCAAGTTATCGAATCATATTCAGTGAATCTTTATTTAATTTTCCCATCCATAAATAATCCGTACAAATGGAAATATGGCGTTTCCATTAGCTCCCTTGTGAGAATTACTGCTTTCACTGCTTTCTATCGCGCTGAATACTTTAGGGATAAGTCCTCCTTATGAAAGATAATGAACGAAACGATGATAAACTGCGAGGAGGGTGACGTCACCTTTTATAAATATTAAAAACTTAATGTCTTTGGTCATTAGAAGGGAAACACCCAGATATAGGTGTTACTAATTAATGTTCACTTCACATTAAACTGCTTTTTATTTTCCACTTCAAAGCATTCCTGACTCTTTTCAAGTTAATATTAGAATTCTTATATAATAACGGTAATTACATATAAAAAATGCTATATTATTTTTATAAAATTCTATTATATTTTTAAAAGAATGCTAATTATTTAGAGTATGCAGCATGTAAATCTCTGCTTAAGGTGAAATTTCTTCGATATTATGGTCATTTATCTATCATTTATGGAATGCTGAGCAATTAACTTATCTGGTTAACTTATCTAGTTCTAGTCTGAGTTTCCCTCTACTTTGCACATTCCTTACATTTTAACCATTTTCTCTTTAGACCATTCACACGTGAAAATAATTAATACTTACTAATGACTATCAAAGAATATCGATTAATAAAAATATTTCTTTTCGAAAATAAGAGAATTTTATTTCTCTTCTTATCGCCAATTATTATTAATCAAAGATGATTTTTTATCGGATCACACAATGTAGATAGCTTGTGCTCTTACGTCAGTATATGATCGTCTAATCCAGTTCGGCTGGTCAGGTCACCGGTACTCGGTTAACGGAGGTCAGGATCCGCGTTAGATCGGACCATAAAGAAGCCAATCTAGATCAAAGTAGATTACCATCACTCGATGATCAACTTCTCAATAAGATTAATTCTTTGAAGTATCAGACACTTTAATATATACTATAATATAATTACTTTTATATAGTTGATAATAATTATGTTAAACAGATAATCCAATTTCAAAATATATTTTTAAATAATAAACAATTTCATTTTGAGCAAACTAACGAAAAAAAAAAAAATTATTTCACATTGCAAAATACTTCACTAGGTATTGCTAATAATTGATTTAAAAAAAATTCATGTATATATTGTATAAATATATTATAAAAGCATTATATTATATGTATATAAATATATATAATATATTTTTTAATAATTTAGGAAATTAAATAATGAATAGGAGAAAAACACATAACAAATTATTATGTGATTGAATTATTATGTTATGAAACTCGATGATACCATAACGCATGTTTTATTTGACGAATCAAAAAATTTTACGAACAAATTAAATTTTGAAAACGTCGTGATAAAATCTGGTTATTTCGCATGTTCCATATATGTAAATACCGTTATAATTTTTCATTGATCTCTTCGGCACTGCTGAACGGATTAAAGAGCAGCGGCTGCGCTCATCCCACACACGTGCACGCCTTGGGACAATATTATGAGCTCCAATCGTTGATTCTGTTTTATAATCTCGCGAGAACGAATATCCGCTAGCGTATTTATTTTGCCTATCGATTGTGCGGACACGGAAAATACGTGTGCGAATAACATCGCGTTAGTCGTCGTACATCGACATGCACGTGCATTTAAGTGCACTGTCGTGTCGTCGCTAATTAACATACAACATGCCGTAATTAACTGTACGTTTGCAAGTAATTTTCTCGTCTATCGCACAAACAGATCTTTCCAACGAGAATCCTGCGAATCTCTACGAGACACGCGACATCTTCATACGATTATCCTTGACAGAATTAAACAAGTGAGTTTATAGTTGTGTCATAACTCGACCGGCAATTATAAAACAAAATAATGAGATAAACAGAAGAAAAATATGATTATTAGAGGTGATTCTTCTTTTTTAACACAAGTCTATACAATTCAATTCTAATCACAAAAGCGGAAAGGGATTTTATTCATTTGCTCATGATTTAATGAATATAATTTAGGAAATATATTTGTAAAATATTTAATGTAGAATTATTTGCTCATATTCATATAGCAGTTCTGTTCGTATAATCATGCATTTTATGGTATGATACATGTACGTGCACGCAACACTTTCTAATGAGACTTGTGATCGGAATATCGGGCTCGACATCGATCTCGATCGCGCAATCCGCAGATTCATCTCACGTTTTCAGGCTTAACGACGAAAGTATACGTGCCACCAATTTGGGTCGGCCGTGACACTCTTCTCTCGGAGCTTTCCAATACGTTAATGAATAAAATTGTTTTTAATGTGAAGAAATTTACTGGATTCCAAAGACATGAAACTCCTAAATATTAGGTTTTCTCTTAACAGACCCTGCAGCCCATGTTATTTTATTTAATGAGCTATAACTTTGAAGTAATACAGATGGAAATTCTCTAATAACTACCATCCCGTTAGCGAATTCTTGGTTCTTTGATCGCGTATAATTTTGACTCAATTATTGATATTATGTTATGTAACTAAAACTATATATATTTAATATTTACTTAATTTTTTATATTATATACGTTTAAGTTTAATTGAGTCGCCGCTTTAATAATTTCCAAAAAGAAATTAAGAGCGGTGCATTTAGCTTATAATCCCAAAGGAAATATCCGGACGATAAGAGATTTCGTGAAACTAATTCTGTAGAAATGCACGTCGTTTCGGGGTCGTTGGAGTCGAACTACCCTTCTTCGTCGCCCTTGCCATTAAAGGCAGCAGCAGCAGCTGCGTTTAGACGATTGCCATAAAACCCGGTCCCGCGTAGGCGTATGCGGATAAGAGGGACCGATCGATAATTGTGACAGAAATTCAATCCTTTGCAAGCTGGTCCTAATGCCCGGCACTGACCGCCAATTCAATCAAGCGCCCGCCAATCGCGGCTTCCGGAACGGGATTTTAGCTCGCGCGCAGCGCCGAGGGATTTTGTTACGGTCCGCTGCCGCCAAATAAAATTCCGTGGAACGATGTACGGGCCAAACGAAAATAGGTATTAACTATATTCGCTGGCGTACGTGATGGCTCCAAAACGCCCGCCTATGTAAACCGTTCGCTAACGTTCGCCGAAGCGCGACA